TTTTTTAAATTTGCCCCACATTAGGATTTTCTCCTGTGTCGTGGGTGCGTTTACAAACATACAAGTTCACGTACACAATGACACCCACATCCGAAACAACAATTTGTGGATCACTCAAAGTGTTGTTCCGTGCGGGAATCGAACCCGCGATACGTTGCACGGCAACCGTTTGCCCAGCCACCGCACCAACCGTGCAGTTGGTGAGAATGAGAATTTTCTGTAGTTGTAGAATATCTTTAAAGTGTGGTGTTCGAATCTTTTAATAACATGGCTAGCTAAGAATATTCCAATTTATTGAAACAAATTATTTTGGCAATTACCTAAGTACTAGTAAGCTCAAGTAATCAAAGGTCAACTGACTGTTGCATTATCATTTTGCACCTTGTCTGGAAAGTCACACCTTGCAACAATTTCAAATTAGCAAAACTGTATCAAGTAAAACTGCCATCATAATTTTGGAGGACTCAATATATTTCTTATAACTTTTTTGTTACTTAGTTCTTCAATGGATTGCCTAGGCACAAAGTGCAGCTGTTCCCCATTTACAAAGGTTAAGGCTTTAATTGTTTTGTTTTGCTTATTACTCAAGCATTTGAAACGAGTGGGAGGTGCCCAGACGCCCATTGTAAAGCCAGTTCCAGACACATTGTCATCTGCGAACAATGACGCTTCTTAATTGAGATGAAGATGCATAGGGTCGATGCACTTTTCATACCTCCTTCTCGAAGTTCTTAATGCACATTCACATCTGAGTATTTATTTAATTAGTACTAGCTTCTGCCCGCGACTTCGTACGCGCAATCCTGATTTATCCCGTTCCCGTTCCTGATTTTCGGTAAAATATAAAAAAAAAAAATTTGGTAAAAAGTATCCTATGTCCGTCTCCTGGTTCTAAGCTACCTCCCCGCCAATTTTCATCCAAATCGATTTAGCCATTCTTCAGTTATAAATAGTGTAACTAACACGACTTTCTTTTATATATATAGATTAAAACGACTGCCTCGTTGGCCGAGTGATCTCAAGTGCGACTGCCGGGCAAGGGGTCTCGGGTTCGATTACCGGGTCGAGCAAAGTATTTGTGGGTTTTTAAAAATCTCAGCAGTAGCACGGAGTCTGGAAATGTGCCCGGTAATAGGCTCACCCGCTATTACATGGGACTCATAACATAAATAGTGAAAAGTGGGTGTTACATTGTATAGTGGCATTAAGTGCCGTAATGTGCACCTCTGCCTACCCCTTCGGGACTAAAATGCGTAATGTTATGTTGTGTTATGTTATGTTATGTAGTATTAAAACGTTCACGTCGGAAATGATCCTTTCTGTGAATACAATTGATTTCTCTTCTACATCTAGATAAATTACCTATAAGTGTGCTTATGTAGTAAAGGAGATAGGTATTAACGATCCCATTCGACGACAGTTAAGATGACGTTAAGTACTGCCTGACTCTAATACACTGAACATTTGGGTAATAAACACTATTTCTAGTTTTACCACTGCAATTTACTGTTTAACATCAAATCCTTACAAACCTCTTTAAAACTCTGGCATTTCAAAGCGTAAACTAAATCAGGAAAGTTTACGAGCTTTTCGAACATTCGTTTAGGATCGACCAAATAAATTGTCTCCTTAACATGTACCTACTTATCTAACAATAATTTATGGCGCATACGATTTTCGAACCAATAAAATATTCATAAGGTGATAAAATCTTTCGGAGAAGCGGTGTTAAAATAAAATTAAATGGAATATAAAATGTTTCGTCCGTGTCATATTGCCGTAACTGGTTATAGGTACCTACGTATATGGTACCCGGCACCCGGCACCCGGTAAATTGGGTTTGTTTCTTGGTGTAAAAAGTCGCACAACGACAACTGCACATTAATGTTTGCAGTTCGGTTGTTTTTTTACTCTCAGTTTTTCCTTGAACAGTAACTTGTTCTGATACGTTTTCATGTCGCCTCACTTATCGACGTATTTGGAGGTATCTTCTGCATTAAAGATGTTGACATCGACACGCTTTTTGAATGTTTTAACATGTGCAAAAATGGGCATACGGTAGGTTATATACCTCTATATAGGTATATATATACGTAAGGGTTTATGATAATTGAAGCAGCTATCAACCAGATACGTACATTGAAAACATGATATCTATATGGTTTTATGTAGTTCTATACTCAATCATATTAACAAGAGGTGTCTTGTAAGAAGCTTTATAGGAGCTTCAAATAAAACAAACGAGGAGGTACTTGTCAAAAATGACGAGGAGTTTGAGGTAGAAGACATGCTGTGCCTTCATAAATTGAGATATCTTAGGATAGGCAGCAAGACGATTTTTACTATCTAACATAACAAAATAAAGAAGATAATAAAAAAAAATTACAATATTCTTATAAAGTTTTAACTAATAAATATTAACGACGATGACAGTTCCAATAACGTGTCTGTAATTCTAAGAAATATGATTTAGGCACGAGCGCTTACGACCGCGGCCCGAGGTTTGGTTGACAGCAGGAATTTATTGACGGCATTCGATCTTAGTTAGTGGCTTGTAAAGTGCTTATTTAGTATTTTTAATTAAGAAATGTTTGGTGTAGAAAGATGCAGTATTTATTTTAATTTAAATATTTGGTATCAATCCGAAAATTACAAATTCGGTTTCATCATAAGATTAAGTAAAACACAAGCACATGTCATAAGATACCTATAACTTGTTGACCACAAAAATTTCGGATGAAGAAAATGTCGCATATTATGGAAATGATTAAAAAAAAACTAGTTACAAAAATTCACTAACAACTTAAAACAAATTGCTTATAAATTCATAATTTATGTGTTTCATTCTCTGAGATGACTTCAAACGCGATGATCAGCGCGATCTTAAGTATAGTGAGCTGCCAACAGGAAATAAAAGTCGTGAGAATAATACAAATTAAGAGGTACAACTTCGTCCCAACGAAGCGGAGCCTTCGATAATTGAGACGTCAATTTTTTCTAAGCAGAGACCGGCCCAGACCGCTTTTTGAATATTTATAACGTGAGCGGACCGTAATTTAAGTTTACCTCTCGTTATCTTGGTTCCTCTATCTAACTCCGTTCATTTCGACTTGTATTAAGTGGGATCTATAATGAGTAAACACGGCTTAGAGTAGAAACGTTCGTTAACTTCAAGTTGTAGGCGCTGTTATACAAAGTTACTTATCAAAAAATGTTTTTTAGCTTATGACCAACAATAAAGTACTTACAGTCTTTTTAAGTTACTATTAAAGAATTTATAGGTTCAGTGGAAAAACGTTCTTGGATATAAAGCAATAAAAGTTTAAAAACACAACATCATTTCTGGCCATTAATCCCGTTCACACAACACGTGACGTGCTCAGGTAAAAGGTACTAGCGATCGACATTTCAATAGAGTTTTTCTTGCATCTATCATTCAGTCTTTGCTTATTAAAACTTTGAATAGATGACATTTATTATGAAAAAATCCTTTACAAGTCTCGTGCACAATTTGGACGTCAATCACACTTTCTGTAGAGGTAATGGTGGGTTTTTGTTATAATTCCATGGGGTTTTGTGATGGAGTCACATTGCGTCTTTTCATTGCCTCTCTGCATGTCTCCGGACTTGTAAATCCCGTGCTTTGTATTGCAAATGACCCATTAAATTGCTGCAGCTTCTTTATGTGAACGCATTCAGTCGCTTTATGAGATTGCAGCTATAGTTTTAAGATAAAGGTGTAGATTATTACGTTCTCTATTGGCATGAAGGGACTTCTTTGTTTTGTTAATTTTTGCAGTGGCCGGAAGAAACTGGACAATAGGGCAATTGATATTACGCTCAGAGGGATCTCTCGTTAAGTTGGTATTTCTAGCTTTCTTTTAAAACTAAACTTACTATAGGAGGAGGAACCGAAGGGTGACTCATAGTCATCATGAATCAATTGTAACTAGATAACTAGTCTGTAGCCTAGGTACAATTTAAGACCCAAGATGCTGACAAACTAATTTGGCTTCAAGCAGATTAATCTGTCAAACACCAAGCGGTCACCGGTGACCGCGACCTATTGTTCTTTAATTGTGTCTATAAAACCGGTACTCGACGAGTTAAAAGCGGTTTGGTCCATAAGTAATTACGCTATTTCTAGCAAATAAAGTAAAATACTTCCTGGTTACATATGCAAAATCTTACAAATAAGAATCGATGTTAGTAGTAGCAGGTAGGCCAGGTAGGTACCAACCTAGGGAACAGTTTCTACACTGGTTTTATTTTCCTTTTTTAGAGGTATACATACTTTTTTATATCTCTAAAAAACTTATACTTATAAGTGACTGTTTGACCAGCTAAATACTGTACTTATTATATTCGATTCCCGTGTCGGGCAATAAGCTAGGTACTCTTTAATTTTATGGAGATACCTTAGAACACTTTAGGCCAGATAAAAGAAAATAGGAGTCACCTTATACATGCAAAATATTCACTGCATATCAGTAGAAACCTAACCATCAACTGAACTTATTTACCATTCTCCATCATTAGTATAATTACGTGAGTTAGATTATGACTTATGTATCCTCCCTTTGCAGCTGTATGCATGTATAGCAAAGTCGATCATATTTATTTGATGCTGAATAAATGTATTTGCTTTCTTTAAAGTAAAATAAAATTAAGAATATAAGGATATAATACAACTAAAACTACTAATTTTAGTTAGTCCCTAGGAAGCATGTTACAAAAATTCTCCACTTAGCGCCATCTAGCAGAAATGTCTCGAAGTTATTAAAACGTATGTAGTCTTAAGATTGACTTCATAAATACTTTTTATGGCTATTAGAAATAATTGATTATTTGCTTTTTTGTAACCATTAAATTATTGACTTAAATAGGTATAGCTATTTATGACGTCGATCAAATTAAATATTTTTGATTATCTGTGTCGACCATAAACAAATAAACTGAAATCTTTGAACGCATCAAACTCACGAACTTTATGAACAAATGCCTCCTACGTCAAATGACAAGTTGTCATGTCAAGATTTTGACAGTTTTCATTTTTATTTATCTCGTAATTATCAAATAGAAAGTGAATTGCGAGTTTATGAAATAATTTTGAGAATAATTAATGGTAGAAAACAACAGGAAATATATAAAAATAGTGATTATATAACGGTCATATCGTTTTTGACCTAAGTTCAGGGGTATGTATAATAATAAGTTGCTCATTTACTTTTACTCTTTGGCCTAAAATTATTTGATACTACACTCATTCACTTCATCAGTAACGCTTGTTATTTAATGCTTATCGCCCATATTGCAGCGATTGTTTTTGCACACTATTTGGTTCTGATGTTTATTTATATTGAGGTTTTTCGTCCATATGTCGTCTGATGATATGATTCGCGTGCGATTCCCTTGCTGTATGTATAATTCACGCGACAAATGGCCTATTAATTATTAATCTGATGTGTCTATTCATCAATACAGTTAGTTTATTTGGCAACATTTGTATGGGTGTCCTCTAACTTTGACATTATACTAGAGGTTAAATTCTCGTTTTTAATTTGAGTTAAAACTTTCACTTGCAGATAATAAGAATGTTGTAGCTATAACAATTTGACAGAAGAACTGGGTGAAAACATAGTAAAAATAACAAGGTATGAGTGCCGGTGGGCCACAGATAATGAACAACTTGCCACCTGGAGTCAATGTGGACAATAACTTGTTGCCTGGAGGTCCCATAATAAATCCGACAATGAATAGAAATAGGAATAATAACCAGAATCCCTTGTTTAACATGAGGGAGAGGTTATTTCATGCATTATTTTTCAAATTTGCTCTAGCCTATGCTCGGACATTCCCGAGGCCATTGCGGAGATTCTTTGAGTTCCTTGTGCTTTTAAAAGCGCTAGTGGCGTTTTTCGTTCTTGCATATATTCATATAGCATTTTCAAGAACTCCTACAACATGTTTGAACCATGTGAAGGACTCATGGCCGAGGGATGGCATTTTGAGAGTTGAGATCCTGAGGAACCCAGCACAGGACTATACCATTGAACAAAGTTATGCTAAGGAGAGGAAATTGAAAAAGGATAAAGAGGAATTGAATTCTATGTTAGGAATGTTGGCGACAGAAGGGTAAGCCATTAAAAATTCTTATGACTAATGCCAGAATACTGAAAGGCTACTCAATTTTAAGTTGTATCTAAATATCTTGCCATCTCTGTTATTTTACAAAGAGTTTATAGTAACGGAACTATAATTAATTGTGACCTTAAATTGAGTAGAATTTGAGTATTTCGGTATAACATACCTATAAGTTCCACTTAAGTTAAGTAAGAAGTGAAATCACATATAAACTTACAATATACTTTTAAAAATAATTTCTACAAACAATGAGGAAATAACAGGGTCACATAATATTGTTTAGAATTATTATAATTTATTTAACAACACTGGACAATGACAGGCATTTTATCAGTAAAAACAATACTGTATTCTTGTCAAAAAGAGTTTTAGGAATGAGGTCTTATGCAATCAATATATATTTTTTTACAAAATTGTGTTAATTGAAATATGTAATTATGTGCATGACATGTTGAAGTGATGCCGTAATTTATTTCTGTGTAAGCATGATCTATATTATTTGATTAGATTAAACAAAACAATTGTTGTTGTTTTATTTTTGTGGTATGGTAATAGTAAGGATGGCTAAATTATCATTTTTGAAAACGAATTTTTAGAGGTCAATATATAATCATGGACTGATAGTGAATTTATATAGGACAATACATTTAAATTTTAAATTCTTGCATGTTGATAACACATAAATTTATTGTGATAATCTTAATAACTCAAGCAATTAAAATAATAATTATTAATAAATTATTAAAATATTAGGAAACAGTACACCAATCATAAAATCACACATGTAAAAAGGATTTCTATTTTTTTTAATCTTACATTTCCCATTCCAATTTAAGAATTGTAATACATTTTAATTTCAGTGTAATTACAGAACTGTTATTTATTTATGAGATTTTGTTGAAGTAATTAATGTATGTGGAGGACTGTGTTAATTGAAACAATACTATAGTCACTTAAAACTTAAATAGTCTATTTTTATTGATACTTTGTCATATGTGGGTCTTCGTCATAGACTTAACTATCTAATTATTACGCCATATTTATGAAATCATTTAATAAATTAAGGTTGTTTCAGACACAGGTGAAAGCCCTCACTATAATTTCTTTTGTCTTGTAATTGATAGTTAAACTAGGTACTTAAGTTAATAGTTTGTAGAGGAAGACACTCAAAAATAAAATTTCATAAGAATTCGCACAATCACACATACAATACTCATTTATATTCACACCTTCGATTCAATGTCAGTATCATAATAACTTCTCTTTTAATATGACAATGAAATTTCATCCTCTATTACTTTTTAACTTTCCTTAAGAAATTTTTAACAATTATTGTCTAAATAAATATTCCGTACCATGTTTTTACAAGTATTGCGAGTTAATATTCCTTTCCACTACTATTTTAGTGAACGACTACTGATTCTACGTAGTGTTTTGTAAAAATGTACCTTAATGTAATTATTATGTAAATACCAATATTGCTTGACTACAATTTCAGGTTCATTAACATTGAATCGTCTACAAATGACGAGGTTGATGACGATGATTACATTCGCGATGGAACTGACTACGGTAATATTACAAGAGTTCATGACGATACTGAGGGATCCTCTCCGGACAAAGTCATTGAAACTGGGTCTGTGAAACCCGATGGTGGAGGGACGAGTGAGGAGGTGGACCTCAATGCAACAATAGTCTCCGGAGCAGATATTGTTGAACATTCTGCTTCGCTATGGGAAGGTATTATGGGACTTGTTGAAGATATAGACAGAGAGTCTAAACTGGTTGACGTGAGTATTTTTTTGTTTTATAAAAACTTAATAATCTTTTGTGATTTTCCTCTTTTTTTCAATGTAGTTTTGAAACTCGAATGTTTGTCCCAAAAATGTAAATACAAAGCAATTAGCGGCGTCAATAATTTTATGACTGTAGATGTACATAGAGCAACTTATATTTTTAATTATCGTGTCGATAAAATGGCTCTTATGTGGTTATTGTGTTGAGTTGAGAAAGAAATGTCGCTATGCAAAATACATTTCATTACTCCTTACTAAAGATTCTTAAGACAATAGAATACTAAAGGAAAGTATTTCTTTATTGTCTATTAAGAGTAACTATAACAAGATGTTTTTGTTCCTCTGGTCTTTTAAATAGTGACGTTGTGTTTTATCACATTATTATATTGTCTGTCACTTATTGTACTATCGCAAGGTCGTTAGCATAACTGCTGTGCTAGTCCCAAGATCTCAAGGAGTTTGATTTAAAAAATTCTCAGTAGTCTAGTCATATGTTTGGTTTTAGACATAGGCTCATCCGTATTATTGACAAATAATGATACAGTACCGTGTTAAAAACCAGATATGTGGATGATACCTTTATCTATCCTTTACTTTTTTATCGACATGCAACATAACATTTCCCTGTCATAATCTGTCCTGATGATGAATACTTCAAATAAATTATTATACATTTTGGTACAGTACCGTTTTTAAGCGCTTACAAAAACGTTAGTGATTCATATTTCTTTATACAGATATTAAATTGCTTGCAGTATTAAATTTGGATTTGTTTACTCTGTGTGTAAGTGCAATGACCTCAGGTAAACATGGTGATTCGCGATTATATTTGTTGTAGCTGTCCAATCTTATCAAGTAGTGTGTGGCTGTGAATGACCTGTTTTCTAGTGTCGCGTCTTCTTGTAGGTGATTTTATTTATGTGTTTCAATACTCTAAAATCTTAAATAGCATTGATTTCATTTTTATTAGTACCTACATAATAATATATTGCCGATACAGGGGGTCTATGATACAAATGTAGGCAGGCAGTTGAGAGCCATGTTAAGCATAAGCGTCTATACCTAAAGCGGCATGGACTCTTTACCCTCTTGTCAAAAAAAAAAACAAATGGAATTCCATAGGATCGATATGAACGTATATATGACGATATAAATATGTCGATAAGTCGGTTGGTCCAGACTGCAGTCCGACCAATACTGCTATATCTGCTGATAGAGATGAACCCATTAAGTTTAACCTCTAACTCTTTCTGTAATGACAGGCTGATTGTTATTATAAAAATAAAAAAATAATGCAATCCAATCACGAACATCAGGTGACCGCTAGATATTATTTAGAAAAACTAACTTTGAGTCATAAGTATGTTTAATTAAGAACCAGTTTTGAATAATACTTGAGATTTGCGCGAGGTTTTATTGGGATGAAGTCCTTTGCTTGTTTAAATGTCTGTGGAATGTCATCTATTGTTTAATTAATTATACATACTTACTTATATTGTTTTTACTCTACGCCTTTGAGACTCGGGGAATTTTTTTCTCATGTCGAGATTACAATTCAGACTGTAGTTTTGCTACTATCATAATATAGCGTAAAGGAATACTAAAATTAGTTTCATTTAATTTCAAATTGTCCGTCATCGCTGCGCGACATCGCCATGACCAGGCACGCACCTCATGAGGAAGAGTCTCTCTGTGACGCGAAACTAGACGTCACTAACCGTTCATTTTGAGTTAATTCAGCATGTCTCACAATAGTTACTATAGAATTATTATAGATGAACTACGTTTTTGTTTGTTTTTTTGAAGAGGGGATAGGTACCTTCAAAAGGCGCCTAGCTTTTTGGGGAAAAAGACTAAAACCTCCCCGATAGCCATCATCCGCACCTGAAGGAGGCACCGGGTCCTCTTAGTAGATCAACCTCAGAGCCCCGCGGTGCAACGCCTGTTACGGCACCTCCCTAGTCCCTATATAGATGAACTACCTACTTAATAAGTTAGTACTAATGCACTTTGAAACAGCACGATAGAAACGATGTTAGAACAAAAACTTAATCAGATTATGCAGCCGTTAACATGATAATTGATAACGTTTGAGATTTCTTATCGATTAAGTGGTTAATAATGCCTTAGAATATAATTATGCGTGTTGATAATGAACTGTATTTCTATTATTTGCACGCTTGATTATGCCTACGTGGTTTGTACATATGTACACACGGCTACACATTGAGCTTTACATAACCAGTATAAACTGAACGTTAAATGTGCGGAAAGATGATGCGACGCGACACCAGGATGAACTGGTTTTGTATAGATTTATCTGTGGCCGTGTGTACATATCTAGGTGCACGTGCATTCCGAATATTTTCAAAGTAACAGACATAGTATTACGATATAATTAACATAATGATAGGGACAATGAATTAAACATTCCTGTCTAACTTCAAATTTTAGTTTACCTACCTAAAAAAATAGGTTATAACCACAGCCAAGCATAGCTTAGCATACAAGATTCCAGATGTTATCTATTTCTGTAACAAAATTCGTCGAAATTAGTTCAGCGATTTAGACCTAGTGTCACTGACGGACTCACATTGAGTTTGAGTTTGAGGCGTGAAAGCGTAGCAAACAGGTTTTCGCAAACGTAGAGTTAGTTGAAATTAATAATTTGGTTATCGTTAAAGGTTTTTTTTATTAAATCTGTTAACTGTTTATAGGGCGTTCACCTTTTTTATAAAGAGTCGTGAGGAACGTAGGTTGTTACCTTCCTTAAATAACTGTTATAATAATTATAAATGAATATAATTAACTATGATAGGTTATTTGCATAATAAACAAATTAACACATCATTATAGAGGTAGTACTGATTATTCGTATCTGTATTATTTTTACTTGTGTTCAAGTTTACTTCTTGACCATATTTGACGGGGATCTCGACTAGTTTCAAGCCATGCTGGAGGCTCATGTTAATAATATGATCCTCTAGCATGGCTAATTACGTGACTAAGCCGAAAAACATAATAATTAATTTTATATGTCTCACGAAAGTGATATAAATAAAGTATAAATATGTTACTATTAGGAAAAAAACATGTCTTACCTATATTTTTTTAATATCTGAGAAAGAAAGAAAAACACATTTATTCGACAGTAGGCACGCACACAGATACAAAAAAAAATACAAAATTAAAAAAGAAAAGAACAAATCAATGCACTTATTTATATAGATATAAAAAAAACAAAGAAACGACAGAGTATAACAACACAGTGACAATAGAATAACAACATAGTAATTAAAAATTAATAAAAACAAGATATAAATAAATAACATTTAACGGCGCGTGCCCTTGCCAAAAGGGCCTCCTCTCAGCATTAAGTTGCGAGCGTACATGCCCAACGCTGATTTTCAGATGGCACCCTGCAGTGACTCACGGACGGCGGTAAACCGCTCATCCGCTATCTCTGACTGTTGAACTAAAATAGACGTGTCCTTTTCTAAGTACTGCTATCTTTTTTATTATTCACTTTGACAAACATAGGTTATACAAGATTTCTAGAAAAAGTATCTTAATTTATGTTATCTTCTGTTTCAGGAGTCTCTGGAGGAGTCTGCTTCTAACGACTCTTCTAAAGGTGTGTATTGAACGATATTTAATCATTAATGATTAGCATTAGAGGCATAATTATTATATATAACATTACTGCTGAAAGTGGGTATTACATTATATACTCGCACCTGTGCCTACCTAAGTGGGGATTAAAAACCGTGCCGTTATACACACGTAAATAAAATATACGATAAGCATTATAAACATGTTTAAGTACATTAACTAAAAATCGCGGGTTACTCACGTGAATATACTGAGAAAAACGGTCGCGGCGTTATCAGTAGGCTGCGCGATATCGTCAGTCGACCGCGCATGCTGCTCATGAGGTAGAGCCCCTTTGTGGCTCGAAACTAGTAGAGCTTTTCTCAGTATACTCACGTGAGTAACTCGCCATTTTTAGTTGATCTAGTATGTTTCACGATAGTTATTATAAAAACATGTTTAAGTGCACATTGATTTTGACACGGCTCAATATCTTTTATGTTAAATATAATAGTATTGGGTTGAATACTCCAAGCAGCTTAGTTAATGAAATCTTAAGCAATGTTAATATGTGAGTAAATTCTAAGTTATAACTCACCATTGAAAGGCTTCGTTTGACGTAAAACCTAATAAGCTTATTGTAATCCACTCGAATGACAGCATTCGTTAATTATATGCGTTGTATTCAAAATGTCAATGAATGCTATTGATAGGTAAATAGAATATTTTTACAATAACATAAATATGAGTACAATATCCTTATTTCCTGTTTAGACACAAGAGTCCATAAATATGACCTGATATTACAGTCCAATGTTATAGTCCTCATGGCTGTCTAAGTCAAAAGAGAGAGAAAGAGAAAGGTGATTTTACCTGTTTCCATAAGTTTTTGGAGGGCATAGAACGTAGAAATAACGAAACGCGATTTTTACTTGACTCTTTCACTTCCTCTACGATTATCATAAAGAGAGAACAGAGAAGAGTGTCTCTCTTCGTTTCAGTGTGGTTGAATTTATCAGAACAAAGTCTTATAACAATTTCCATCATCAACAAGCAACTTAACATTATGATAACTAATATTTTCTTTCAAATTCCAGATGAGGACTATATTCTCGAGTACTCCCTAGAGTATGGCTTCCTTCGCCTATCTCCGAGCGCGCGACTTCGTCTCAAAATTCCGGTCAAAATAGTCACATTAGATCCACAACGCGATGAGTGCTTCGGAGATCCCTTCTCACGATTGGTGCTTGACGAATTCTTGGGGTATGACGACTTGCTCATGGCATCCATCAAGACCTTAGCTGAGCAGGAGGACAATAAGGGATATCTGAGGTATGTGTCTTTGTATAGTTAGTTAGTATAGTACCTATAGTATTGTAAAATTATCATATGTTTAGTTCGGGATGAATTTTGATATTCACGTGATCTTCGCTATTTCTAAATTCCAGGCATAGTACTGAGTATGGAAGTATGTAATAGGTAATAGGTATCTTATGTAAAAAGATTACAATAATTATAATTACTTAAAACTAATTCATCAGCCGTCTATCTTTTCACAAAATCTTAAATACATTCTATCTCGCTGCGAACAAATCACACTATACCTAGTGTTGGCAGTATGGTCGGTATTTTTCCGATTCGGAGTCGCGGAGAACCTAACGGGTTACCGGGGCTCCGGCTCGATGTACAGGAGAAGGAACGGGGTGGTTTTTAGTCAGTAAGAGTCTGACACTCCCTCTCGCCTCTCCTAGGCGGGAGCAGTCATTCGATGATTTTCCCCCCTTAAAAAAAGGGTTTTTGCTGTATGATTGTAAATGGTTGGTTTATTTTTATATATTCATATTACTTCTCCACGGATTGTTGGTCCGTACCCTTGTCATACAATTATTAGAAAATGGTGGGTTAAAAATTGGAAAAGAAAATGTTAGAATAATCTTTAAAAATGGTCTTTAAAACAACATGACCGTAAACATTATGTCTACTTATTAGCAAACAGCGTAATGCTATGTTTATATTATTATTATATTGTAATAACATTTCCATTTAAATAAATAATTAATCGTGTTTCGTTAATTTAATTACAGGAATGTCATCACGGGCGAACATTATCGCTTCGTGTCGATGCTGACTGCCCGCAGTTCATACATTGCTGCTTTCTTCATAATGCTAGTGTTTGTAAGTATTTATTTTATTTTAGTAAACAAATAATATACGCATTTACGATATAACAACGGGAACAGATATCCCCTATATCTTATTCAAATAATTGTGCTATAAGGATGTTTTATTAAGTGTTTGAAGTAAAATGACCTCACGATACACATATTATAACGGAAAAAAATGCCATGACTCATCATTATTATAGAATACATAAATTCCTGTGTATTCTTAGGGTTCCTGTCTGACTCCATCAGCTGAACATTTTACTGTACGTCTTTGCAAAGCGCCATCTAGATTGTTATTTTAGATACTGTTCTTATCCCTTGTAACATGTGCTGACTTATTCTTTAATCTAGTTACATCCTTTTTTACGTCTTATTTGGAAATGCGATGTCAAATGCTAATATCTTTTATAATTATTTGCCATATTATTAATTGACATCGTATATTTTAAAGAAATTCATTTTCCTGACAGCGCCATCTAGTGGCGAGTAGCAGAAGTGGAATACTTTCTCTTCGGAGCTCACGACTCGCCTACTACGTTGTTCTTAACCCCCTAGCGTCGAGTAGATGAACTTATTATGGCAATGTGTCCATTCAATTCCAAATGAAAGTTCTCTATGAAACGAACAGATGGCGCGATTTTAAAGAAATGGTCTTTGACCAACACTTAGTTTAATTTTTAGCTTAATACTTAAGTATTCATTTTATAGAATCGAGCTCCTCATGATAGGTGGTAATCATTCCTTGTACAGAGCTTATTAGACTATTCCGTGGCAATTTGTGCCCAAGGCTGGGCTGAGGGCTCTCAATACAGAATGAAATCTATTAAAAGGTTTGCTATAATCTCCAATATTAAAATGTTTAGGTTTATCAAAGAGCGCTGCTGTCTGATCTCTGTCAGAGGTAAATTGGCTTACTTATGACACCTGCATGAAGATTATGGGTCGTGAGTAGTGACAAATTATTAGTATGAATGAAAAATACACCGTGAAATTATTAGTATTCAAGAAAAATACACTGTGTTTATGTTGTTTTCGTCCCGAAGTAAAATGGTTCTGTTTTGGTAATACATTAGTGTTACAAAGAAATAAAATGTTTAAAACAAAAAATAATTGGTGAACCATTGCAAAAAGCAATCTTCGAAAGCGTATACGAACTCATTATATTATCAAAATATCACGCCATGTAATTCTTGAAGAGGTATTACTCGTCGGGTGGTATGTGCGATGCGAATAGTGCCTACAAATTTACTTCTAGTGTTTCATATGCGCATTTCCATGAGAATATTTTCAAACAGAAAAAATACATCTTTATTTTTTTGGTTTTACTTTATACATCGAAAGTACAATATGCCAAGTTGTTTTACTGCGGGAAGAAAACGAAATAGATTACACACTGTATAGATATTTTAATCCAAAAGAAAAGGTGTCCCTTCATACTGCATTTGACAAAGACATTAGAGATCAATTAATAGGTAATCGCGAGGCGCGGTCCCAACGCCACTAAAATCAAGGCTCTCTCGCCGAGTTACAGTTATTGCTCTTTTACGGCCCTTTCAAAGTTTATTACGGTTCCAAATTCTGACGCTCGACGCTCACTACCTTGCTTGATGTTTGTTTTCCAAAACTCCTTTTACGTGAATGGCCAGTTTTGTGTTTTAGAAGTCACTTGATGTGGGAAGTTTGCGTTGCATTCATGATTCAACTGAATCGATGCGCGTGAATTGTTCGTTTCAAGTGTCTGACACTTGATTTCTGTTGTGTTTTGATGGGATTGGTTTTACTTTTGATTGGTAAATTCTAGTCTAGTAAAATTAATGTTTCAATTAATGAATTGTGGTAATGCAGCCGACTGCATTAATTATCATATCAACCATAAAACTCATTGCTGAACATGACTTGACCTCGGCTGAATTAGTTAGATTTAAAAAAATACACATTGATCTCATTCACCTGTGTCTACTAGACACAGAAGGACAACTTCTTCGACTTCGGAGAAACGGTTCTTTTCGAAGTGGACGGTAAACTAGAACCCATATATCCCCAAGCGGTCACCGGTGACCCCTCTCCACTAACTATATTATAGACTTTATTTCCAATATTTAGAGACTACTTTTGTGTAAACAAATTTAGGGGATGATTTTCAACGGGATTAAAAATAAAATTAATAATAATAAAATTATAACCATCATCATAACATTACGCCTTTTTATCCCCGTAGGGGGTAGGCAGAGGTGTATATTTCGGCACTTAGTGCCACTATAAAATGTAACACCCACTTTTCACTATTTATGTTTTGAGTCCCATGTAATAAGGGGTGTGCCTATTGCCATATACCGGGCACATTTCCAGACTACGTGCTACTACTGAGATTTTTAAAAACCCAGTAATACTCGACCCGGGAATCGAACCCCTTGCCCCTTGCAGTCGCACTTGCGACTCGGCCAACGAGGCAGTCATATAATAAAATAATATGATCGTAGACTAAAACGAGGCCAAGTTGTGAGTAGTTCGTAATAAAAGGCGAAAGCAAGCCCTAATAATCCGATTTGCTCGGATTACTTGCACAAGTTGTGCAAACTAAACGGGCAGATGCTTTTACAATACAACGGATAAAACTACTTCAAAAATTCTTCACAACCATGAAGTTTTTATCTTCAAGATTTTGTTGAGGCTTCTTGTTAGAGTTATGTGATGATATCAGGCTACATTATTATCCAGAAACCAACACAAAGATTGGTTTTGTCTTAGACAAATAGACAATAGTGTAAAACACATCCCAGTATAAACTATTATGAAAATAAATACATGTATTAAAAGTCGCATCATAAAAACTGCCACCTACTCCGACCCTGTCTTATATGCACAGGAAAATAATCAATAAGCTTTGTAACAAAATCTGTAATTTTTTCTATAGTGCAGCAATACACCCTTAGGTATCCACAGTTTAAATCCAACTATAAAAATCCAGATAAGTTTTGATGTTTAACACTTATTTAATGGTCAAAAAGCTTTGGCTTCAAGAGACCAATAAATGTAGTCAGCACCAAAATTATTATTTCTAAATAACAATATCATGCCTTTTATCTCCGAAGGGGTAGGCAGAGGTGTACATTACGGCACATAATGCCACTGTATAATGTAACACCGGGCACAATTCCAGACTCCGTGCTACTACTGAGATTTTTTTCAAACCCATTTGTGTTTTGCCAAACCTGGTAATCGATTCCGAGACCCCTTGCCCGCCAGCTGCACTTGCGACCACTCGGCCAAAGAGGCAGTCTAAGATCTTATTTCTAAATTTCTTATTGCTTTTTTGATCTAGGATAATAATTTACTAAACTCTTTCTCCTTTATCTCTCCTTTCATAAGATGTCAGTCTTATTTGAAACGCAGTAAAGCGTGTTATAATAAACTGCAGTATTTTAATAACAACTTATTATAGAAAAAAGTTTCATTAAGTCAAAGCTTTCTAAGCTGAGCATTTATTTAATAAAAGAAATATCTCGCAGTTGCAGAGTATATTTCGTTCAAATAAAATATTATACTGATATGTAATAAATATTAAAGTATTCTAGTAGAGAAAATTCTCTGCATTCTTGCCAGATACCACAGAGTCCACAGATTACTCGCGTTTATGAGACACCTCTTGGTTTTTGTATGAATCAGGTTCCTCAAGATTTTTGTATTTGTAATGTCACAGATGTTTCTGGTGCTTTAGAGACAGATATTCGATTCTGATTTTTCTAGTAAATATTTTTTGAAATGAAAGACTACTGCAAATCTAGTCCATTTACTTTCTTCTAGTTTTCCTGTGATAAAAGGTCGGATACATAGGTTCAGGGCCGGATTTAGGGGTCCAGAGGCCTCGGGGCAACAAAGGAGTGGAGGCCCCCTTGCCCCAAATTATTTTCCAGATTGAGATCGAGGACGCTCGCTTGATTTCGAGGACGCTCGAAAACGATCGAGGACTCTCGATAGATTTCGAGAACGCTCGAAAACAATGGAGGACGCTCGAAAACGATCGAGGACGCTCGATTGATTTCGAGGACGCTCAATAGATTTCGAGGACGATCGAAAACAATGGAGGACGCTCGAAAACGATCGAGGACGCTCGATTGATTTCGAGGACGCTCGATAGATTTCGAGGACGCCCGATAGATTTCGAGGACGCTCGAAAACGATCGAGGACTCTCGATAGATTTCGAGGACGCTCGAAAACAATCGAGGACGCTCGATAGATTTCGAGGACGCTCGATAGATTTCGAGGACGCCCGATAGATTTCGAGGACGCTATCGAGGACGCTCGAAAAC